GAGCGTGACATGAGTCAGCCCATTTACAATTCTACTATGCTTGAACGAGATATGTCCCCCCTTTGGGTATGGCCTAAAGACACTTCAGTCAGTGACACTGCTCCGGGGGGTATAACCTTCTCTGCTCGGGTAGGCCCTGACAGACAGGGTTGAAAGCCCGTCTCCTAAATGACCTAAATTGTGTCGATGACCGCGTAAAACACATACAAAAAAGAAATAACACATTCATGCAAACATGTGCGTAAGCTGATAAATGAACGTGACAAATCCCACTTGAGTGGTTGGCGGGTGTTCTGGTGTGGTTTGCTCCTTATTCTTTTCCATCAAACATTTATCGGCCATATCTTTCCTCCTTTTCTGTTTCCATTGCTCTCTTGTAACACCTCTAACAACCAGCACTTATATGACCTGATTGTGTTGCGAGTAACTTTGATTATTTTGACGAGAGCCTGATTCCACCACGCTGTCTCAGGCTGACAATGACAGAGTTCTGGCAACTTCTCGGACTCCAACTCCATCTCCAGCCATGCCATAGCTCTGGCACTATCAAAGTCTCTCAGCTTTTGTCTTGGTGGCACGTTGATGCGATACTGGATTTTGCGCAAACGGCGGCTTATATCGCCACCAAAGTGAGCACAGTTCGAGAGCGTATGTCCATTCATGACGTGCACCAGAAATTTCAACTGAAGAATGTCTGTGGTGTCGCACACAAGTCAATAAAAAACAGCAAATGTGGCTAAAGTTCCCCGGGGATTTCCGTGCAGCGTTTGATGATTTTGCCCCTTTAGGAAGCTTTGCAGTACGCATTTGTTACCCATTAACTTTTTCAGAGCAAAACAATTTGAAACATTCCTTGCTGTCTTTTTTTTTTAATTTAAAAAAAATCAGGGCTGTCTGTCAAGGTGGTCCTTAACTTATGTTGAAGTCTTTAAAAAGCAAACTCACCTGTATGTCGAACTATTAGTTGCAGTTGTCTTGGAGAGAATGAGTGAGACAATAGTACTGAAGTTTGAGTTCTGTTCGTGTGCGCATGTGCAGTTGACTGTCAGCTGATCTGTAAGTTCTACGTATATCTGGTTCGGGGAAGCTTCGATCTTCACCCCATTTCTTGAAGCAACCTGGGGTGAATTCGCCGAGTCTGTGAAAGAAAAGGCAAAACAACAACGACAACAATAACAACAACAACAACAACAACAACAACAACAACAACAACAACAACAAAAACTGGGGTTATTTGAAAAGTAACGTCTATATTATGGATAGGAAAGATACAGATAGTCATTCTTACTATCCTCCATCAAACTTCTTCCTTCTTTCATAATATGTCCTTAGAGCATGCATCAGAATACCATTGAGTTACAATCAGAATACTGGGTACGTATCTAGCTTAACATTTTTATTGTTTATATTACTGTTCATTTATATTAAGAATATGACTGTGGGCCTGTTTGTTAGTGCAAGCATACTTATTAAATTATGGTTATGTGCACAGATGTGTGTGGAAGAGAGAGTGTGGGAGGGAAGAGTGTGTGTGTGTGTGTGTATGTGTGTGTGTGTGTGTGTGTGTGTGTGTGTGTGTGTGTGTGTGTGTGTGTACGAGGTGAAACACCAAACCAATGTGCCAGGATCTGGACAATAAAGATGTATCTTAGCTCATCTTATCTTATTTTTTTAAAAATACATTCATACAAAATCTGCTGGAAAGAGGGGGAGGGGGGTGGGCTTCAGTCCCCACCCCATTTCTTTTGGAGGAATCCTGTGAACTCGCCGAGTTTGTAAAAAGTAAAGTACATGCGATAGTGGAAGAAAAATGATGCCTATTTAGATATAATTTTCTTATTTTCAACGCATTTTGTACAAAGTAGGGTGCAGAGTTCACTGTCTTCCTGTTGGTTTTTTTGGGGTTTTTTTTGGTTAGTGTTTTATTTCACTCGCAACTGCATAAGGCCAAATGAGCGCACGGGACACATTAATTAAACATTTTCAGTTGGTATGACATTTTGAATTTTGCCCGGGTGGCGGCCGAAACCTACTCTTATCGATTTTAGACCACCAAGGGATCTTTAACGTGCGCAACTTGCACTCGGGACCTCCGAGATTTTTCGCCCTAGTCCGAGAAGACTAGGTATAGATCTTTCCTACAAGATGATCAGGGGTGTGGCTGAAAGACAGCAGTAAGAAGGAGCCAAGGAGTAGCAGTAGAAAGACTGCAGAAAGAGCCAGAAACCCAGAGGAGGGGGCAAAGGAAGTGAGAGGGTGGGGGCATAAAGTGGAGGCGAAAGAAGACGACAGAACATTGCTAGAGAGCAGGAAAGGAGGTGAAAAGAGACAATAAGAGAGAAGAAAACTTTTTCCGTCGCAACCCGGATTCGAATCCTGGACCTTTGATTGAATTGAGAGACGAATACATTAACCTCTAGGCCACGGGAGCCCACATTGTCTACCTCTGTTTCACGGAGTCAATATCGTCGGTGTCGCAAACTATCCACTTAAGTCCTTTTGGGAACTGTTTACGCCAGGGAGAAACACTAGCTTTTGTTGTGTTGTTCCGGTCAATAATGATGAAAAGTGGGTGGTTGGCGGGTGCTCTGGTGTGGTTTGCTCCTCCTTTCCTTCGAACGTCTATCATCCTTATTTCCCCTTCTTCTTTTTTATGTTTGTTACTCTCTTGTAACACCTCTAATCTTCTGGCGCTCATATGACCTTATGCAGTTGCGAGCGCCGTAAAACCTCTACTAAAACTAACTAAAATGATGAAAACCAAGAAAACTGTAAGCCTTGACGGTAGTATTAAACTGCACATTGGTGATGTTAAAAGGAACTTTTATAGTAGAGCTTTGAAAGGGTGTAACATTGAAAATTCTCAAATTGTGGACTTCGGCGGATTATTTGAGGTAGCAACACAATGAACGATGCCATTCCCAGTTCTATAAAATGGTAAGCAGCACTTTTAAAAAAAATAAACGCACCCCCCCCCCCCCCGCCTTTTCTCATTTATATAGCAAGCTCATATCCACACTCTGCATGCTCTACCGCTTTGCATCTATTTTTTTTTTTTTAGCGCAGTAGACCGTAGGAAGCATACAGTGCAAGCTGCGGATTGCACGCGTTCAAACACTAAGAAACTGACAAGGTCTTTTGCTGTCAAAAGCTGAGTGCCCAATTCCACCTGAGTGAAATGAGGAACATTCATGTAAAGTACCTTTCCCAAAGACACAACGTCGGGCCCCTGACGAGATTCGAACTCGCAATGTTAAGATTGAGGATACAAGTACACGAATCTAACCACTGGACCACCGACGCCACAATGTTCAAGTCTTCCTTCACATAGACGCATTTTACTCACACTTTGTTTTCGGAGCCTTCAGCGTCTGGCATTCTTCTTCTTCTTCTTCTTCTTCTTCTTCTTCTTCTTCTTCTTCTTCTTCTTCTACACCGTGGTTGGGGCAACCGTGGGGGCACCACTGCATCTGAAAACCAGCTCTCGCCATCTATTTTTGTCCTCTGCTTTCCTCAGATTGTCACCCATCGTCTTTCTTGTCCACTCTGTAATGTTGTCCTCCCATCTCCTTCTCTGCCTTCCTCTCTTTCTCTTTCCTTGTACGATTGTTTTAGCAAGTCCTGTGGATCTTGTGACATGCCCATACCATTTTAATTTTCGTCTCTTCACTGTGGTCAGGAGATCTTCATACTGCCCCACTGCGTTGGTGATTCTCTTTCTCAGCATTTGAAACGTGGTCTTTGTACGAAATGTCAAGGAGTCTGCGGTAACATCTCATCCCTGTGGTCTGAACCTTTTTCTCTAATTCTGCTGTTAGTGTCCACGACTCGCAGGCGTACAAAAATATTGAGATGACCAGTAAGGAACTCAACACAAAATGACTATAATTTTAAAGGGGATTCGAACCCATCCACAACCTTACAGTTGAGAGCCTGAGAGCCTAACCACTAAACCGCCAGCCCCACAAGCAAAGAAAGACACTCACCTGCTACAGAAGTTGCCAGAAGCAGGACAAGAGCAACAAACGACATGAGTGAGACGCAGGACATGGCTGCCTCTTGTCACGATCTGCCCTAAACTGACTGGCTCTAGAATGATACGCTGGTCTTCTTCGTAGAAGATTGGTTAAGTGAGATGCATACCTATCCGATAATTACGATTGTTATCATAAGCCTGTTGTCATGTCGCTTCAAGCGAAAGAGGGACAGAGACAAAACTATCTTTTGTTTGAAGTTTTAGTAAGATTTTAACAGTACTTGCATCACATTCAGGTCATGTAAGTGGCAAAGATTAGAAGTGTTACAAGAGAGTGATGAAAAAAAAGAAGGACGGAAGATAAGGATGATATAAATGTTTGATAGGGAAGAAGGAGCTAACCAAAACAGAACATCCGCCAACTACCCACGAAACATATATTTTAAAGGTACTATTTTCAACAAAAAGAAGAAAGATCTGTCTGCCTCATGGATTACTTTAAGGCTTTTGACAAAGATAGGCTCGGCAAACTTCAACGAAATGCATTAACAATTCTTGGAAAGCCAGACAGAGATCGAAAGGATTATAAAATCATTAGTAAGCTTTACTGTGACCAGAATATTGCTGTCAGAATTGAGGGTGAGCACTGTGACTATAACAGATTTAGATTAAAATAAGAGTTAAGCAAGGCTAGGTATTGTCCCCTGACATCTTTAACATACACAGCGAAACACGTCTCAGAAATACGTAGAAGAAAAACTAGGTTATAAAAATGAATGGAGGAAATAAGAATTCCATTAGATATGCCCATGTCACAGTTTTGTTGTAGTTTTTATATACTGTTGAGACGGGATGAGAAACTCAGTGGCTATATCTAAAAACATACAGAAAATAGAACGCCCGGTGATTTGTAAACACCCCCCCCCCCCAAAAAAAAAACACCAAAAAAAAAACACAACAACAACAACCCAACAACAACAACAAACATATAAACTAACAAACAAACAAATCAGCAGCAAATCATATTTATATAATCTCACAGAGACGAAAAGAACAATTAAGCTCAATTGTTTAAATATTATATAGGATACCTCATTACCTCCGGTGTTAAATGTACCTCACAAATAAAATGAAAAACTGCAATAATTAGAAGCAGTTTCTATAAAATAAGCCCACTTTTTTAAAACAGAAGCATCTTTGTGGCAATAAAACTACGAGTCTTAAAAAACTCATGTGTGTTCAATATGGATGTAAATGCCAGAGACGTTTATTTCCAAAGAGAGTCAAAGCACATAAAACTACAGAAAAGTGATTTCTTAGGAGAACAGGGCAATCATATAATATATTATGTTTTTCGAGCATCTGAAGGTTAAAAGTGTGCTAGAATTTGGGTTAACGTACTGTGGCTAAAGCCGTTTTCTTCAAAACTTTGTTTTTACATCCTGTGTTACAAAATGTAGCATAGATCTATCTTTAAAATAAAAAGAACACAAGATTTTTAAAAAAAATTAAAAATCAGCGTGTTCAACATTACATTTGCTACAAGAATTTGCTCTTATTTCAATATTCAAAATTTCCGACAACTAAGACCTTTCTCCTGGCTTACACACATAATGCGATAATTATGCTGCCCATGACAGCATTGATGGCTACGTCTATTTATACACCTGTGATTGTCATTTGACGGCCTGTGGGCTACAGACTACAGACTACAGACTTATATTTTCTTGGGGTTTTTTCCCCCCTCGATATTTAGAATTTGAATTACTACAACATATTTCTGGAGCACAGCAACCGACACCATATGTGATGCAGCGTGGAGGAATCAGGCTCTTGTCAAAATAATCAAAGTGAAGAAACTTGCATTTTTCCGCAGGTTTGTGAATTTTTATCAAATTTTTGTTTTTTGGCTCAACACCTTCCATGCCCATTAAAGAACTCATTTCTGCGTGGATTTTTCCAGAAAAGCTTTGACTAAAGGCAAGAAAATGTAAATTTTCAGTAAAAACGTACACTAAAGCTAAGGAAATAACTATTCTTTGTTGGCCATTTTCTCACTAATTTTACCTCTGAAAACATGTGACCCCCACCTCCTTCTTTCCCAAATATCTCGACTTGTATTCAAGATAAATGGATATTTTTTTTCATCCAAATACAGACAAGTGAACAAGCTTTAAGGTGATACCAATACCTCCTCTACATGTCCAAAAATTTGACGAGAGCCTGATTCCACCACGCTGCCTCACATATTATTATCTTGAGAGAAACTGCAATCTAAATAAATCAAATATTTTTGGCTTGTGACAATTTAACAGCTGGTCGACAAGAATCCGTGGGCACTAGTAGTCTAAAGGTACGGGGTTCGCCTCTCACTCAATAGGTCCCGGGCTCGAAACCCTATAGCGACTGAACTGAAAATTTTCCTCTTTAAAATGTTTTCCTTTCACCTCCTTTACTGCTCTTAAATCATGCTCTGTCATCCGGTTTTAACTCCACTTTCTGTCCCCCCCCCCCTCCCCCCCCCCCCCTCCCCTCCTCTGGGCTACTGGCTCTTTCTACTGCTACTTCTGGCTCATTCTTACAGCTGTCTTTCCGCCATACCACTGATCGTAGGGTAGATAAGATCCTAATACCTAGCTTTCTCGGATAGGGCCGAAAAAGTCAAAAAGGTCCCGTGTGCAAGTTGGTGGCCCTGATATCGATGAAAAGTAGGCTTCAGCCACCACCCGGGGAAAATTCACATTTAATTCTTACCAAAACTGAAAATCCTTAATGTGTGCCCTTGCGAGCGCCCAGAATTACTTATCAAGACAAAAACATGGTGATCGCAAAGTGACCATCAAAACATCCAAATTTCTCACCAAATATTCATTTTGTTGCTGTATTTATACAGGATGATAAAAAATAACACCAATTACCCACATATCCATGGCATTGAGCCAGAAAGGAAGTAGATCTTAATTTCTGACCTCTGTGTCATGTCCTGGAGTGTCAGGTTCTGGCAAAGGCTAAGGAAGGATGGGACGAAAAGAAAAGTTACGAAGACTGATCGCCGCTAGGATTTGTGACAATGGAATTAAATGATTTCGATGATGACTCGGGTGAGAATGAGCTTTTGAGAAGACTTTCAACTCATCTTAAACTAGTTATTGTAGAACTTGGGGGCCTTTCAAGAGAGCTCACAAAAAATGAAAGGAACAATCAATAACTCAAAGCTTCTTTGAACGAATAACCATCAATTGTTCTTTGCCTGTTTGGTGTTTTCTTTTTTTTTCAACTCGCTACATCAGAAGTACACAGTTCTATCTGCTCAGTACCTAGTTTTGAAAAATTTGACGAGAAAAATTTTGACTTTCTCATCATGTCAAGCTTTTTCAATTGCAACAGTGAATATCTTGATAACGACTCCGAATAATCTTACGATTTTGATAGAGCAGACAGAATATTAATTGGTTTCTGACCCAATGGTCTTAGTAACTCAAAACGGGCAAAAATGTTAGATAGAACTTTGCAGTTTTGAGGTAGCGAACAGTCAGCACAAACAGAAGACCACAACCTTGTCGGAAAACAGTTGGAAAGTTTTGAGAAGACAGTTCAAGCACAAACGATTTTCTTGCCGCCTGTCTCTAATCGGGTACTGCTGTGCGAATTTGGATGCAATGTGAACGCAGCTTAAGACGTCGAACGATCTGTTAACTGTAAAACTGTCTTTGCTTTGAAAAGTACAGCATGTGCGATTTTCATAATTTTATAGGAAAGCGAAAAACAAACACGCAACCTCTCCCCTGAAAACCCTCCCACCCCCAAACTACTGAATGTTGTCACAAAGAAAACATCATAGTTTGCTTTAAGAGGAGGTTAGTGTATCATTGTGAGGCAGCGTGGTGGAATCAGGCTCTCGTCAAAAAAATCAAAGAGAAGAAACTTGCATTTTTCCACAGGTTTGGGGATTTTTTTTCAAATTTTTGTTTTTTTTTCTCAACACCTTTCATGCCTATTAAAGGACTCATTTCTGTATGGAATTTTCTTAAAAACGTTGAATAAAGGCACAAAAAATGAAAATGTTCAGTTACCAAGGACTCTTAAGCTAAGGAAATAACAAATCTTTGGCCGCCATTTTCTCACCAATCTTACCTCTGAAAGCAGGTGACCCCCACCCCCTTCATTCACAAATATCTCGACTTGTATTCAAGATAAATGGATACTTTTTTCCACATAAATAAAGACAAATGAACAAGCTTTAAGATGATACCAATATCTCTACATGCCCAAAAATTGATGAGAGCCTGATTCCACCACGCTGCCTCACAATTGTATTTTTTTTTAAAAATGGCCCAGGATGTTTGGAAAGAGTTAGTTTTCTTGGCAACACTATTTCGGGTTTTTTTCGGTTGTTGTTTGGTAGGAAGAAAAAAAAAAA